GGCTGTCGGTCGACTCGCGCCTCTCCTCCGCCCGGCTCTCGCCCCCTTCCCCTCTCGGGCTCGACCCAGGCGGCTGCGGTTCGACTCGCGCCTCTCCTCTGCTCAGCTCTCGCCCCCTCCCCCTCTCCTCACCGACCCAGGCGGCTGCGGGTGTGAGCCTGCGGCTCGTCGTCCCCAGGCACTGGCGCGTCTCGGCTCTCCTCCGAATCTTCCGCAGGCCACGGGAAGCTGCGTGCACGGCGGGACTCAAACGACGTGGCCAATGGGACGTGGCCAAGCTGTTGACGGGCAGGCGAGCCGTCCAAACACTGTAGGGGCGCATTGCGTGCAGTTTGCGTCTTACTGCTTTATAATATAGGGAGGATAGTTATCTGCCCTGACCTGGATGGCCCCGGCTGGCCTGATCTTGTCAGATCTCAGAAGCCAAGCAGGGTTGGCCTTGGGTTAGTATTTGGATGGAAGTCCAGGGTCACTATGCAGAGGCAGGCAATGGCAAACCACCTCTGAAGTCTCTTGCCTTGAACTCTCTAAGGGGTGGCCATAAGTTGTCTGTGACTTGACAGTACTTTCCACCACTGCCGTCACTGATGTTATCACCTAGCTTGTTCATAAACCAAGTATGCTTCCTAGGTTCTATAAAGCTTGTTTCCATTTTTTCGTCTTTCCTTTTGCTTGCCTGCCTTATACTTCATGTTATTTTTGGAGTCCTTTTAGAAATTAGTAGTCGCACATGAATACGTCTTATCCTGCCCCATGGCTGTTGGAGAACCTGTGGCCTCCCTTGGCTACCAGATAAACGAAAGATGTGTCTCATTATAACTTAACAACAGAGTAATTAACTTGAGCTTGGAGCCAGTGAAACACTAGTTAGTGCAAGAAGGTTGTAGAGGTGGGTTTTGCCTTCTTCTAGTAGCCCCTCAAAGCCAGTGCTGGACAAAATGACACATCCCTGTGGTTTATAGAGGGGAAGTCCCTCCCTCCCTCCCTCTTGCACTAGCAGATAGAGCTTTTCTGTAGTACAAAAGAAATGAGGGGAGATTTTGCCAGATTCCCTGTTCTTACTGTAGCCTTAGGTACCATGTTGCCCACAGGGGTCCTCTGACTCTCACCGTTGGCTTTTTTGAGATCATTGGGGCTCCTGGGGGAAGCGTGGGAGCCTTCCAAGACTCCTTGCACTAGTGATTGTAGGAACCCAACCCATACAAGTTGCAGGCTTCTGTGGAAGTAACTTCCAGCCTTTTTTGTATGGGCCAAATCAAAATTCAGCCAGATTGTATTAATTGCTGATATATGCTCATTTATTGAAATTTATGGAGCTGCGGTGGCTCAAGTGGTGGTGTTTAGTCATGCCGGCCACATGACCACGGAAACGTCTTCGGACAGCGCTGGCTCTTCGGCTTTGAAACGGAGATGAGCACCGCAACCCTAGAGTCGGATTCGACTGGCTTTCGAGCAAGGGAACCTTTACCTTTACTTTATGGAAAGTGGGCCAATTTCATTGGTAAAGGAAACCCTAAACCCCATTCTTTATACCCACGGAAGCACCTCAACTAATTTCTTTACCATGGAAGTTTTCCTATCCTGGTACCATTTTACTCAGTTCCACATCAGAGCTACTCACAAATTGACACGATCCTGATGATTCCTTCTATATGGTTGCAAGCAAAAATTGAATTTCTTCGTGGCTCCCCACTGACCACCCGTCATGGATCCTACGAAGACAAAAGTAATGAGGGGAATTGTACATGATTGAGCAAAAAAAGCTGGCTGGATCCCCTGTAAGAAGAGCTCTGTAAGCTCTTGGAGGATTGGCTACATTAGGGGTATGTCGCCTAATATGCAAAGGAGTTCCTGCTGCAAGAAGAGCCCTGGGTGTAACAAAGGGGGTGTTGGGGTTATATAAAAACATGATAAGGAATCCTTTTTCCCCCCTTTCTGTATTTCCTTTATATTACCTCTTTGTTATTTTTTTAATAAAATATATATAATGGGGGGGGGGGAGAGAAAAATGGGTGACTCCTGAGTATTCATTAGTTCATCCTAGATTTCTTGACTCTTAGCCTTTTGCGTAGGGCTTTGTAACGTACCGTATGTTCTGTCTTTTTCTAGCCGGTCCATCTATTCCTCCAGTAGTGGCGTATCCCAAAAGAAGTCAGACCAGCACTGCAGACGGCGACCTCAAGGAAGAAAGGAAGTCCTCCAGCAGTGCTGCTGGAGGAAGAGGAATTGCACCCGCCAGCCCCATGCTCGGGAACGCCAGCAATCCCAATAAGGCTGACATTCCTGAGCGGAAGAAGAGCTCTGTTGCCCCTAATGTAAGTTGCAGCTTTGGTTTAAATTGTAAAGGAGCTTAAGCGTGAGAATGTCTTTGTCCGATCTACCATCACGGGTGCACAAGTGTCTTATTCTCCTTCAGCTAACCTTACTCATCAGAAGCAGGCTTTACTGAAATGCCATCGGTCAGTTGATTGATTGATTGATTGATTGATTGATTGAAAGCAAATGTGGGGGGTAGTTCCCATTTTCATATTCTGCATTATAAGCATTTATTATGGTGTGCGGACTCTAATCCGCATTATAGTGGTTAAGTGTGCGGACTCTAATCTGGGAGAACCGGGTTTGATTCCCCACTCCTCCACTTGCACCTGCTGATGTGACCTGGGGTCAGTCACAAGCTCTGGCACAGCTGTCCTTGAAAAAGAGCAGTCTCTGTCAGAATTCTCTCAGCCCCACCCACCTCACAAGGGTGTCTGTTGTGGGGAGGGGAAGGGAGAGGAGTTTGTAAGCCGCTCTGAGACTCCAAGTGAAGGGCAGGGTATAAATCCAATCTCTTCTTCTTCTTCTTCTTCTTATCTCATAACTTGGCAGTGCAGCCCAGTACAGAGTTAACTCCAGTCTCGACCGGTAGATTTCTCGTCACAGAGTAGCACCACCAGTTCAGTAGCCTCTGCAACAAGTTCAGCGTAAACATGCAAATAAAACTTTAAGAGGTCTACTTAGGAGAAGCTGTGATTTAAAGAAGATTTGTCAGCTTTACGGGTGATTGCTTCCTGCTGCCTCTCATTCGCTTGTGGTGCGTGCATGTTTTAGAAAGATGATGCTAACAGCACAGTAAGCTCTCAGTATAGTTTTCAAAAGATACAGTCTTTGATTCTGTACTGAATTAAGTGTGGCATCTGCTAACGTAGCCAACTTGAATTCCAGTGCATTAGTTGCATTAGTATATTTCATTATCTTCGAGTTAATTGTTTAGTCTCTAGTTTTTGTCTTTGGAAGGGAAAATATTTCTGATAGATTTTCGTTGTACCAAAATGCTCATGTTGTAGCTGTATTTTTATTGCTACCTCTATTTAAGCTTAGCATATGCTGATCTCATCTAGTGTATGCCTAAATCTTTTTGAAACTGCTTTCCATTCATTGTGAATTCTTTTTTTTTTCTTTTCAAAAAAATCCTATAAGCACTGGACTTGTACCTGAGTACATTTTAAAATGCTATCAAAGCAAAAGTTAAGACTTACACTTATGTTAACACTGTAGGAGAGATAGATTTATGTAACCACAGTATTCTGCTCTCTTGTAAAAATAACTCTCTGCAAGACTCCGGGCTCGATTGATTTTCTTTCTTGGTCTCTCTGTTGGAATTCTTAGAACCTGTCATTATTACCGCTTCCAGTGAAGCATGAGACATTTCAGTAGGAGTAAACTTGACTATAATTTCTTCCCTTAATCCACATTTTTTTCCCCTCACATCCACTTGTCTGTCTTCATAGTCAAATGCATCATAACCCGTTTCCTTTCAGGAACTCTGTGAGTAGGCGGATGCCAGACTTCTTGAGTTCTCAAATGGCGTTGATATTTCTCTAACTTGTCTGTTAAGCTTCTTGGCTTCCTTTTTTACTTGCATGTTTGCCGTTAAGTAAGGATCCCTTAGGTAGTGCTGATGGCACTGGATTGTGTTTTGCCCAAAGGACACTTTTTTCCTTCTTTGTTCGACATCGGAACATCTTTCAGCTTTCCATTTTATTTCGAAGCATACCCAAGTAGCTGAGGATGCTTACTGATCTATATATATCTATATCTATCTATCTATCTATCTATCTATCTATCTATCTATCTATTGCCATCAAGTCAGGTGGACTTCTGGCGACCCCTAGTGGGGCTTGAAGGCAAGGAATGTTCAAAGGTGGCTTGCCGTCGACTGTCTCAGCATCACGGCCCTGGTATTCCTTGGAGGCCTCCCATCCAAATACTTGCCAGGGTTGGCCCTGCTCAGCTTCTGAGATCTGAGAAGATCAGGATTGCCTGCACTATCCAAGTCAGGGTCTTACTGATCTTAAGGCATGGTGTCTTTATGTAGTCCTTCTCTACCCACCCCACTTATGCTGGGGGGTTTTTTGACCTGAAGGTATATACAAAGCCTGACTAGGCTTTGACGTGATGCTTGATTTGACACAATCATGCCAAGGATTTGTCTGTGTGGTGACTGTGGCAGCTTTCCAAATAAGACTTTGAGGGGACAGCGTATCACCTCCTGCCCCACTTAGCTGAATAGCTCTCTCCCTTTCCCCCTATGCTTTCCCCTCTCCAGGGCTGAAAGTGTGAACTTGTTTTCGGGACCAATTCAAGGTGCTGTTGTTGGCCTTTAAAGTACTGTATCATCTGGGGCCAGTGTAACTGAAGGACTGCCTACCCCCATATGAACCTACCTGACCACTGTGGCCATCTTCTCAGGCCCTGTCTTATGAAGTAAGATGGGTTGGCAGCCTGTGAGAAGGCCTTCTCAGTTGTGGTGCTAAAATTGTGGAACTCTGCCCCCAGGGGTAGATGTATGTATTTTAGTCTGTTTGGTTTTTTTAAACTCTTTTTACAGTATGTTTTTTTATCGCGTTTAGCTGTCAGCTGCCCCGATTGGGCTGAAAGGTGGGATGTATTGTGGTTAAATAAATGGCTTGTGATGGGATCGGTAAAGTGGAATTAAAGAAACATGGTATAGAATTCACGAGCCATCATTTTGTGCTAAGTAGGCTTTGTGTGAACTCTGATCAGTTATTCAGGACTCTGTTTCCCCCCTGAAGCCAGTGGAGTTCTATTACCAGAGAAGGAGAGAACAAGAGGTTCTGGGATTATTCTCAGCACTGTGTGAACTTCAAGAGTGCGGCACAGATTAAGTTGCAGAATAAAGGAGCTGTCGTTTCCAAAACGTGTCTAGCCTCTGTGTTTTCAGTTTGTGTCCAAGCAGTAGAACCTCAGGTGGGCCATCTGGACTAGGATTAATACCACGTCCCCGTTTTCCTTGATCTGTTTCTGTTCTCCTTACACCTTCTGCCTTGGCAGTGCTTGCCTAGGAATTACTGTTTTACTGTAGCAGTCAGGAGTTCAAAAAGTGCAATTTAGGAAGATGTTAGAAAGCCGCATTAATTTAGATAGCTTTTTTTAAAAAAGGCCAACTAAAGAGTAGATCAAAAAGTCTTAACCTTTTGCTGTGAAGTCTTATGTCATAAACTGGCGTAAGATAAGCTGCTGTGTGGAAGGTATTCCAGGCCCAGGCCCCACAGAAAAGACTCTGTCTCTTGTCACCCAATCTTATATCCATCTCGTGACAAAGATGTCTTAGTCGGCATGCTTCCTCAGCCATCCGAAAACTCTGCAAGACAGAATATGCTATGCCGTAGTCAACAACTTCCCCATCAGAATGTTTTATTTTCCGACTTAAAATAGTAGTGTCAGTTTCTGTCCATCTGCCCTGTGCCAGTTTCTTCTCACCCTTTTATTCTTCATATGCTACTAAAGTTACACAGTTGCTTTACACAGAGAGTGATTAAAATTTGGAATTCGCTGCCAGAGGATGTAGTGATGGCCACAGGAATAAACAACCTTAAAAGGGGATTAGATAGATTCATGGAGGATAAATTTATCAACCGCTACTGGCTGTGGTGACTGAGGGAAACCCCCACATTCGGGGCCACTAAGCCTCTGAATCCCACAGCCAGGAGGCAACATCAGGGGACGGCTTTGGCCTCTATGCCCTGCTGTTGGCTGTCCAGAGGAACTGGTTGGCCACTGTTTGAGACAGGATGCTGGACGATGGACCATCGATCTGATCCAGCAGGGCTCTTCTTGTGTCCCCGACCTTGTTAAATATCTGCTGTGATCCCCTGGGCTGTTGTAGTAGTTAATCTTCAAAGAACTCCAGCAGGTTAGTTGAGCTTGATGTGTCCCTCTGCCTGTCATCTTACCTTAACAGCCTTTGATCGCCCTGTGGATGTTTACAGTGCAACCTTTTCATATTTCAGTGGGAACAGTCCGTACAAGGTTTCCCTCACCAGTGAATTGCTCAACTTGGTGCCCTCTCCTTGTATGGTTCCCTGAAGCTGAGGGAGGACAGCAGACTGTAAAATGGAACTGCTTGGTTCGTTCTAGTCCTCGTAGGGATTTTGTCCTACTTTGGATGCTACACAGTTCAGGAGGGAGGGGGAATGGGGCTTCCTAGCTTTCCCTGTTCCCTGTAAAGCCCCACTTGAGTTGCATTCTTGTCTTGACTACGTGCTTTGTCTATTTTCAGTGCATCTAATGCATTCTGTTATCCACTAGTAGTTCTGTCATTCTTGGAAAATCGATCAACGGCTTGGGCCTATCTCTCAACTCTTTTCTGTAAAGCACAGAGGCAAAGTAATTCTGTAGCTTTCTTTGTGCTCCTTCCCTGAAAAAAATGTCATTTTTGAGTGGGCTTGTGGTTCTCTTTTCCTCTGTGACTTCATATTTGAAATGGTTTGCCCCAGCTCTTCTGCAGTGTTCTCTTTTTCTTACCTGTAGCCTTGATTTTTTTTTTTTTTGGTTAAAACCCACTGTACATAGTAATACTTGCTTTCAGTTTTTCCTTGGTCTTTGATAGCCTCTGAGTCATGTCATGTTCAGGAACAACATCATTATTCAAGGAAAGCCATAAAATAGTTAAGAATAGAAACTGACAACAAATAAAGTCTCCCAGTTTGTGTGTTGATTAAGAGCTTTGTTTGGACAGTAGTGCGAATTCTGTGAATTTAGGCAGGTCATGAGAGGGAGGGCAGGAAGGGATGAGGCAGTGCTCAGCTCTCTTTGCCCTTTCTTATATGCCCAGGGTGATGCCGATCATCACTTTGGGGTCAGGAAGGAATTTTCCTCAAAGCTGGATTGGCCCAGGGATCCTGGAGATTTTTTTGCCTTCCTTTGAGCATACAGCAGGGGTCACTGAGGGAGTGGGGGTAGTTTTGGATTTCCTGCATTGTGCAGGGGGTTGGACTAGATGGGCCTTGAGGTCCATTCCAGCTCTATGTTTCTAAAAATAATAGAAAGAATTTTCTGAAATTTTTAAGGGGTGGGGTAGTCTGAATTCAGTAAATACGGTGAAACAGAGTCTTTGTTTTCCTGTAAGATCTTGGGCATCCCTGCTTGTAGAAAATTAATAAATATGTACTCCTTTTCACAGAATAACACTGCACCTGGAGCCATGACCCGGCGAAATACGTATGTTTGTAGTGAACGAACCACTGCAGACAGGCATTCGGTCATTCAAAACGGGAAGGAGAGCAGGTAGGAGTCTCCTGTAGAAAAGGAGCAGTTTTGTCCTTCTCAGTGCCATTATAACATTGAATGGGTGTTAAAAAAAAACCCTTCTCAGTGTAGTGAGCATGAATACAAGATGTGGTATATTATAAATCAGCTCCAATATTTTGATATTTTTTCCTTACCTTTGTTTATTTACTTCGATCTGGCACCCCTAAACATAGGATACAGAAGACAAAATCCCTCTGATGTTGGGGAGACTTTAACATTTGCTTAACATTCTCCTGTTAAAATAAGTGGAATTTAACAGTACTTTAGTTTGATTGTACCTATAGCCAGTGTTTCCTCTAAGCTGAGGTAGTGCGAGCCAGCTCACAGTTTTTTAGCCTCTGGCTAACACATTTTTGTCTTTGCTCAGGGAGGATGGCTCCAGAGCAAACTAATTTATGCGGCAGCCAAATCGCTCGCTCACAACTTTAATGCCAGTAGCTCACAAAGTAGAAGTTTTGCTCACAAGACTCCACAGCTTAGAGGGAGCATTGCCTATAGCTTACTGTGTAATTTTCATAACTGATAATAAAATATGCTGCTATCATGCAAGATGGGACATTTCTGTAACATTTATGGTACTTTTTTATAGTGTTCAGGTCCACCTTGAGCCTTTAAGTCAAGGTGTAATAAAAATGCAACTGGGGTGGGGGGTTGCATTCAGACTTGAAGAAAATACACTTGGAAGTCGTGTGTTTGTGTCTGTCTTTCTGTGTCTCAGTCCAGACTGTGCTGCTTGTTACATTCCTGAAGAATGCACAGGTTTTCCATAGAAGGTTGCCTTTTTAAATTTCAGCAAGACAGGTATTTCATGTACAGTGTGTGTCACTGCGGGAGCACTCCATAAAACAGACAAACAAGTTACCTTATAGAAACACTAAACCTGTTCTTCCCAGACAGATAATCCATGTAAAACTGATAATGCTCAGCCTAGGAAGCCAGTTAACTTCCTGGGTGGTGCCCGGTTACAGTCACCCTCTCAGCCTGCCTGTCTAGGTGTCCACCGTTCCTTTCCAGACATTTTTGTTGGGGCAGGGGAGTTTGTTTTGGAGCCACAGAGATCTTGTGCCTACCTGCAGCAAAATGACATAGCGGAGGCATTAAAGAAGAGAGAGGAATTGCTTGTCTCTTTGTCTGAGGGGCAGGTCACAAAAGCCTTTCCTTATCAGGCCTCACACAAAGGAGGTGCTGGTGGAAATGAAGCAGGGTGGCCAGTTTGTTTTGACATCACAGGGAGAAAAACTGACCTTTAGCTCCCTGGAAAGGCCTTAACTTTCATGTACTCCTTTCTTGGCTTTCATGGGTGCATATGGACAAAAGTGCTCTGAGTAATCCGCAGTAAGCTGCTTATACTATACTAAAGGTTATACTGCCCTTGAGTTCTGCAGGGTAATAGGGGGGGGAAAGGAAAACATACACCTCTAGCACATGCTCTGTGTTCCGTGAGTCAGAAAGACTTCTGGATTTCAGAATTTGATTTCAGTAGTCGTGAGCCTTGCAGTTATTATGACTCTTGTTTTGGAAAGATGCTGGAACTCTAGCCCCAGAAAGTGTCTGACCTGTAGTTCCTTAAAGCGAGGAGGACAGGGTGGACAAAATTTGTCTAGTTCTTTTGTTTGAATTGCCTGGGTCATATTTCACAAAAGGTGTAGTCCTAATACCAGAAGAGATAGTGAAAACAGATTTTTGGGGGGAGGAGTGAAGTATTTTTTTAATCTTCAAGACTCTGCATGAAAGACCCTTTTTCTAAATTGGGTATTTATGGCAGATGGTTAATGCAGGGGACGAAATGTGTTTTTCCCCTCTGTCTCTAATTAAGAATAGTAACCCTTCTTGGTATTTTGTGAAAAACCACCTCAGTTTGTATTACAGAAAGAGCTTGTTGCATATGAACATATGTTCAGCTGTGGGCACCAACAGAAATGTTTGATTGGTGTGGTCCTCAGCTAACTGATATCATTGACTGCTATGTACATGAAGGGGTAGTCTTGTTCTGTCCTGCAAATTACTTATTGACCATAATAAGCAAGATCTGGTATAGTGCATTAGTTAAGAATGTGAGCTATGACCTGCAAGTCCCCGACTCAGATCTTTGCCCAACCATGAATTCAGTGGGTAACCTTAGTCAAGCTGTTGCCTCTTCAGACCCTTCCCCTAACCCACAATATGGGCCTAAATTTGTCTCACGACCATCAGGATGATGGGGTGTATTGTCCTGTGTATTACAGCAGAGCCTAAACTATTAGATTTGTTTCCATGTCCAGTCCCTTAAAGGTGTTTGAGCTTTAGTAATGTTAATAGAGGCAGATATCACTTAGCAGGGCAGCCATACTAAACAGTGCCGCCATATTGCACGAAGAGCTCCTGAGCCATGCCCAGGGCCCTCATAACTGGTAATGTACAGTAGCAGGAGAAGGGGGTGGTGGAAGACGGGACCAAAGTGAACAGGCTGTGGGAAGGAGGATAGCCAGCATGGGTGAAGTCCAAGCCACAAAAGGACCACAGTGACTAACCCAAGGTTGCACCCTCCAAAAATTATTCTAGTCCAATTACAGTCCACTCATCTCTTCTTCTTTTGTTTCTTTATCTTACATCATGCAGTGCTGCTGCTGCTGCTTCCAACAACTGCCATGCGACTACAGATTTCCCAGGTAAACAGTCTTTTCCCCTCAATGCTTCGTCAGGTCACTTTGGAGCCCATGCTCTACGTCTCAAACTCAGAATTAATATTGTATTCTCTTGGCATCTGCTGGCTCTCAAGATTAATTCTGAGCAGGAGACATAGAGCACGGGCTCCAAAGCGACCTGACGAAGCATTGAGGGAAACAGATTGTTTACCTGGGAAATCTGTAGTCGCATGGCAGTTGTTGGAAGCAGCAGCACTGCATGACATAAAATAAAGAAACAAAAAAAGAAGAAGAAATTTGTGGACTGTAACTGGACTAGAATCACTTTTGCACAGTGAACATTGGTAGGGTGCAAGCATGGGTGAAGCGGCTAAAGTGCTGGGCTATGATCCAGGCGACCCGGGTTTGAATCCCCACACTGCCATGGGAGCTCACTTGGGTGACCATGGGTCAGTGTTTCTCTCTCGCTCCCCCCTCCCTCTCTCCCTTCCTCTGATCTACCTCACAGGATGGTTACAGTGAGCATAAAGTGAAGAAGGAGCAAGCAGTATAAGCCAAGCAGTATAAGCCACTTTGGGTGCCTGCTGGGAGAAAAACAGAGTATAACTATCTGAAATGCCCCGACCTTGGATAGCCCAAGCTAGTCCGATCTCATCAGATCTCAGAAGCTAAGCAGGGTTGGCCCTGGTTAGTATTTGGATGGGAGACCACCAAGGAAGTCCAGGGTTGCAACGCAGAGGCAGGCAATGGCAAATCCACCCCTGAAGTCTCTTGCTTTGAAAACCCTATAGAGTCGCCATAAGTCAGTTGTGACTTGCCGGCAAAGAAAAAGTATCTAAAATAGATAAAATTCCAGTAGAAGTGAGTGAATGCCTGGTCTTGAGGCCTGGATGCAGAGTTTGGTGTATGGGGCTTCCATGGTCTGAACCTGTAGCCGATCAAGCTGATGTAGTACCAACACGAAATTGTATACTAAGAACCGTAGGCAGTATCAGCATCCTAGCGATACATGGACTGAGTTACCAAAATTCAAAGAAATACAGTTTCTCCTGGGAAGGATTTGCAAACTGCATTAGCAGTCCTGTCGGTACTTGTCTCCAGCCTTTGTGCAGTCAAAAGAAGATGCTGCCTTCTAGTGAATGGCAAAAGTGCAACAAGCCACCAAGGGATTGGTTTTGGATTTCTTTGAGCTGGCCTAGCAGAGAGAGATTTTTTTTTCCTGTGTGTACAGGTAGTGAATTCATGTTCCCTTTTGGTCTCCTCTGTATGGCCACTTTTGTAGCCACTGGAAAAAAAAATGTCAATGTAATATTAAGCGTAACATGAAACGGGGACAATCCGATAACAGTGAAGCCTCCCACTTGCGCACACGCACGCACACACTCAAGGTCCCGGCAGGTTCCATCTCCAGCCTCTCCAGTTAAAAGTGCTCTAGAGCATTGTTTCCCAACCTGTGGATCAGGACCCCAGAAGTGAGTTGCGAAGCCTCTGGAAATGGGTTGCAGGCCAGCCCTCCCTAATGGCTGCCCCTGTCCTTTCCTGCCAGCTGTGCAGGGAGAACGGGTTAAAAATCAAATAAATAAATTGTTCCCTTTTGTATTTTAGAAACCAAGATCTGACCCTGGAAACAGTATTTTCCGTGTCATACATTTGTTGGTATTTTTTTTTGTTTCACTGCATATACATGTTGATCAAGCAAAACGTGCCCTGATAGTTACTAGAGTGAGTTTCCTAGAATCTTAGGCAGGATTCAGGGGTATAATGTAGAAGGAGAGGGTGGTCAAAAGCTGGGATGTAACTTCCATATGAAAGGCTGTGTATGTCCGGATGCCTCTTGCTTGGGGCTCATAGTGGTGGTAGCTACGCCCTGTGCAATGTTTGTTGTTTTCTCAAAAAATACCTGGTTAGCCACGGTAGAAAATGGAATGCTAAACTAGATGGCTGCCAAGGCCATAGTGTGCCTAGGATGCCAAACAATCTTGAGCCGGCCCTGGGTGGGTCGCCATACCAAGTAAATTGGACTTGTGGGTCACCACACCAAAAAGGTTAGGAACTGCTGCTCTGAAGTAGCTGGTTTGTGGACGCTCCTTGCCTTGAGGTCCTGCAGAACCATGACCAATCAGAATAGGGGGTTAGTGGGACCCAACAGCTAGACTTATAATAAGGCAGCTCCGTGTGTTTGTGCCCAATAAGGGAAAGACTATCCTTCTCCCTATTACCTCCCCTCTCATCTTGAAGGTCCATCTGCATTTATGACCATTTAACTAACACACGACACATTTGTGGGAGGAAAGTTTTTTGCTTTTTTTTAACTACACAGTCGCTTGCATGTTTGTTTGTTGGTCCATCATGCTGTTCTTTCTGCCTTTGCCCGAACCCAACCTCCCCCCCCCCTCGCAGCCTGGCCGAAATGTTCGCTTACGCAGCTAGCCCCGCCACAGTATGTACCACATCCTCCATCAGTGTTCGGCTGCGACATCAGAAGTCGATGTCCATGTCGGCTTCTGTGCATGCGAAGATGATGTTGCCTGCGGTAAACAATGGCACAGATAACTTCAGGTCTATGTAAGAAATTCTGAAAACGTTGTGACACTAACGCGCCCGCTGCTCTTTGACTCTGTGCCGTGGAACCTTTAGCAGTAGATTGTGCTAGAGGGTGTGTCTCCCGCCCAGCCGTTCTCGTCGCTCCCATTTGTCTTGTGGTCACGGTTGTGTGTGCTGTGATCCCTTCTTGAGAGAACATCTTGAATGTTCTGAAATCTCCCTTCTAACTGGACCTGATATTGTAATCATATAGCTGTGGAAGTGGTGATGTTCAGTGACTTTCTCTTTCCGTAGACATTCTCGAGGTGTATCTGTTAGATGGAGAGGGAAGGAAAGGAAGATTCCTACATTCAAAAGAAGCCACATTTGGTCCTCCCCCTTATGGTTTCCCTACAATGTCCTTCCCTATGCAGAGTTTTGATCTGCCTGTTTGTTTCTGATGTGTATTAAAATATAAGTACTTCACATTCTGCGGTCACTCTCTCAATATAAATCTGTAAGAAATGTGTTGTTCCGTATTGCAGAGCTTAGAACCTGCACTGTTAAGCTTACAAAGATTTGCGTTTTTGCAGAAGCGGGTGAATTTTTTCCCCTCCCTTTATTCTAGCGCTGTTCCTGATCAAAGAACCCCAGTCGCTTCGACTCACAGCATTAGCAGTGCAACGACGCCAGATCGGATCCGTTTCCCAAGGGGAACCGCGAGTCGTAGCACTTTCCACGGTCAGCTCAGAGAACGGCGTACTGCCACCTACAACGGGCCGCCTGCATCTCCCAGCCTGTCCCACGAAGCCACGCCACTTTCACAGACACGAAGTAGGGGCTCCAGTAACCTATTCAGTAAATTAACTTCCAAGCTGACGAGAAGGTATGTGTATTTTTAAAAATAAGTAGCAATTGCATACGTGTTTTGCTCAGCAGGGGAGTTCTTAATTGCCAACTAGATCATCTAGTCATGTTGAAAATTCAGATGTTAGAAACTGTTCGAGGTGTTGTAGAACTAAACATATATAACAATTCATGTTCCTTTTTTCCTCTGAATGTTCCCCTCAAGGGAATCAGGCATTAGGCTCAGATACTGCAAAGAAGATAGTTTGCTCCGTTAATCTACCATACTGTTGCGTTAATGGGGTTGGTTTGTAAAGGCCAAGTAAAATTGGCCTGTCTTAGAAATACCAGAACTACTGAGGGGAATGTGGTCCTTGACAGTGGCTTGCGTAACGTTGAACAGTAGAACCAGCCTGTACTATTTTTATTTAGAATTCTTTAAAAATTATTTAATAGCTAACCACAAACTCTTAACAACCAAATCCATTTCACAAATTTTATTTATTTATTTATTAAATTTATACCCTGCCCACCCCAAGAAATGGGCTCAGGGGGGCTGACAACATAAAATCAATAAACAACAAAAACAGTAAAACGATAAATAGCAATAGCAGATAAAACTGAAACTCATGCTTTATAAAGTAATTGCCCTAAGAAATTCCAGTGCCCAGGTATTATCCAGGACATTATGGCACTAGAAAAAGGTCATAGACAGCACCATGGACAGGACATTATTTATATGTAAATAATTCATAGAATCATAGAGTTGAAAGGGATCTCTGGGGTCATCTAGTCCAACCCCCTGTACAATGCAGGAAATTCACAAATATCTCCCCACACACACACACGCAGTGACCCGTGCTCCACACCCAGAAGATGACAAAAAACCCTCCAGGATTGCTTCCTGACCCCAAAGTGGCAATCAGCATTTCCCTGGGCATGTAAGAAAGGGCCACAAGAACTAAGCACTGAGGCAACCCTTCCTGCCCTCCCTCTCATGATCTGCCTGAGTTCACAGAATCCGCATTGCTGTCAGATGGCATATCATAAGTTATAGTGTTCCAAAGATTCCATCTTGGAATTTGGAGTTCCAGTAGACCACCATTCATAGAATTCGCTCATCCCCAAATTAGACGTTCTGTGAGCACGTATATAGTATGCTAACTTGACCATTAAACTCATCTTCCAAATCTTATTAAACTTTTTTGTTGGTGTTCTTTCATTTTTCCTGTTTTATCTTAATGCCAACTGTTGCTACAGTCAACAGATTATAACGATTTCCAAATTTACGTCAGGTATGTCATTTTTTTAGATGGCATAATAATTTTATAGCAGCCTAAATAGTCCAGGCTACCCTGAGCTTGCCAGAGCTTTGACGCTAAGCAGGATTGGCCGTGGTCTGTACTTCGGTGGGAGACCACCAAGGATGATGAATTTGCTATGCAGGGGCAGGCAATGGCAGGCCACCTCAGCTCATTTCTTGCTGTGAAAACCCCGCGTGGAATTTCATGAGGTTGCCACAAGTCAGCTGTGACTTGACTGCACTTAATTATTATTACTAAAATTACTACAGGCTTCTTTGACAGTCTGTAGTTTGTAATTCCAGGTTCTTGGTCCAAAATATCAGTCCTAAAAGCTTGGGTTGTAGGACACATCCTAAAGATATGCTTAAAATCGGCTGTATTAGCATGGCATCTCCAGCAGTTATCAGTATCTATTATATATATCAAGCGTCAAATACCACTGACACCAAATCTTAACCATTCTTACATCTGGTGAGATTAATCTAACAGGAATCCTTATCAGCAGAGGTAGGCCTTTTTCTTGCACCTACTTTCCCATATAAGATCCACTAGAGGGAAATGATGTTGACAATATCTAAAAAATGTTAGAAATCTAAGAATCATCTCATAAGTAGCTTTCTCGTGCTCCTGGTTCAGCTTCATGGTGTATGCCAAGAGAATAGGAAGTGTTCCACCAAAAAAGTAGGTGCTTTTCCACCAGGGCTTCCCAGTAAGGATCACGAGACAAACTGTACGGAGTCCATTCATAGAGAGACGGGTGCAGAGAGACAGCATGGATGCCAGTGTGCAGTACTGAGAGTGATGCTTTCGAAAAGAGGAATTGAGAAATGGCCTATCGAGTTTCGAACGGACCAGACTCATGCCTTGCCTCTGAGCTTTCCCTGTAGTTAGAGCTCTGCTCTCTGCAATGTCTCAGCGATACGCTTTCACACACACCCCATCTTCTTCTTAGGAGGGGTGTTTTTTTTGGTGACACGGAACTGCCTGTCCAAAGAGGCCCACGTTAAAGGGATTCATATGCCTGGCTTGGTTTTAATTGAAATGGGGGCGGTCAGTGGTAGAGCTTGTGCATTGAATGCACATCGTTCCTGGTTTCTTCCCTGCAGCTGAATCAAGGTTTCAGGATAGCAACCCTGGTAAATGAGACTGGGCCTGTGGAGAGCAGCTAGCAGTCAGTGCAGGACATGATTGTCTTGACGTCTTTCAGTGTTCGTCATCACACCGTGCGCACTGAAAAATTCACCTCTGAAAATCTCACAACTTTTTGCTATCTAGATCAGCCATTCTTGCAGGCATACTTCACTGAGCCCTTCTGGTGATGTGAATCCTTTTTTTTCCCCCAGTTCTGCCATTTGTGTATTTAACATAACAGCAGAAAGCTCATCTTTGTTCACACTCTGCTTCTCTTGCAAGTTCAGCATCTTGTGTCTCTGCCATGTGGTGACTGGGAGGGGGAGCTTGTGCTGAAGCATCCCATAGTTCCAAGCAGCAGGCAGGGAGGCCTGTAGGGTTTAGCTTCAGTCAGAGGTTTCCCTGAACACCAGGGACTTGATTTGAGGAGAGGGTTCTATCATTCCAAGAGGTCACAGTCAGTGTTCCCTCTAAGCTGAGTTAGTGTGAGCTAGTTCACAGTTTTTTAGCCTCTGGCTCACACACTTTTGTCTTAGCTCAGGAAGAGGGGCTCCAGAGCAAACTGATTTATGCAGTAGCCAAATCGCTGGCTCACAACTTTAATGCCAGTAGCTCACAAAGTAGAATTTTTGCTCACAAGACTTCACAGCTTAGAGGGAGCATTGGTCACAGTTATATTTATGGGCACCTGTTCCGGTGACAACTTCAGAAACGTGCGGGCCCCACACTTTTTTTGGTGCCTTGCCTCTGTGGACTTGACATTGTGATATTTTGATGCTGTAACTGTTGGCCGTGGCTCAGTGGTAGAGCCTCTGCTTGGCATGCAGAACGTCCCAAGTTCAATCTCTGGCATCTCCAGTTGAAAGGATAAAGGTAGGAGGTGGTGTGAAAGACCTCTGCCTGAGACCCTGGCGAGCCACTGTCAGTCTTAGTACACAATACTGAACATTGATGGACCAAAGGTCTGATTCAGAATAAGGCAGCTTCATGTGTCGTGTTTTGAGTAACCTGCATCCTACTATCCCTTTGAGTAGTTTGTTGGAATGGGCTGGAATGTTCAAAGTTTCACTCCTAAAATGGTGCTATATCATCTGGAAGAAGCAATTGTTTTGGGGACTCAGAGTACTCTTAATTGGCACCATGATTTTCACTGTCTACTAACAAGGGCTTGGCAGTTGCATATAAAATACACATTATCCCTGCAAGGCGGCTGTGTAAACAGTAAGCCAAAGTGCTAGGGTTTTGTTTTTTATTTCACTCCAGAATTCAACAGCCATGTTCTCAGAATAAACCATGCAGTTTTCTCAGACTTCAGGTGTGTGGTTGACTTGAATTGATTATTAAAATGTGGAATTCACTGCTAGAGGATGTTAGAGGATGTAGTGATGGCCACCGGAATAAGCAGCTTTAAAAGGGGTTTAGATAGATTCATGGAGAGTAGGTCTATCAGTGGCTACTATCCATGGTGGCTGACCGGAACCTCCACATTCAGAGGCACTAAGCCTCTGAAGCCCAGAGTCAAGAGGCAACATCAGGGGAAGGCCTCGGCCTCTGTGCCCTGTTGCTGGCCCTCCAGAGGAACAGTCCAGCCACTGTGTGAGACAGGATGCTGGACTAGATGGACCATTGGTCTGATCCAGCAGGGCGCTTTTTAAATACTGCTTCTCAGTTTCCTGGAAGAGGAGGAAGTGTAAGGAGCAGGTTTTTTAGGTAAGGGGTTTGCAGGGCTACAGAGGAGCGCGGGGAGCTCTGTGTTCCTTATGAGCGCCAACTCCTGTTCCTGGCAGAAGTGCTCAGTTTATTTCTAACCTTGGATTGGATTCAGTGGCTTACTTTCCACTAAATAAGGAGTATTCTACAAGAGGAAGGGCTGCTTCCACTGGAGGATGGGAACAACGGACTCCAACCTTTCTTTCTTAAATGTTAAAACTATAGATCTGCAAGACATCCTCATTCATCCAAATCATGTACACTTCATACACACACACACGCACACACACACAAAATGTGGCCTAGGCTTTGCTTCACTGTCAAGCTTAGAAAGCAGGAGTATGAGGGGGTCCCATACTGGCAACTTTCCTCTGATACACAGGTGGGGGGAACAGGCTTTATTGCCCCTCAAATTAGGAGCATGGGGAAGGGGTGAGAATATTGACTTTGTTGAAGCATGAAGACCATTCATTCCAGTAACCATTCTTTATTTCTCAGAATGAATTCTGAAACTACTTTTTTCCTTCTGTTCGTCAGTCTCTCATAATTGCGTGTCTCATTTTTTTGAATGGATTTTCAGTTTATTTCATACCGATGCATTTCGTTAATTATTATTTTGGCTTAATTTCTTTTAGAAACATGTCATTCAGGTTTATCAAAAGGTAGGATTTTACTTATATATATTTTAAGAACCAGCTCTTGCAATTAACCTTGAATTTGGCTTTTCTAGCCTTTTTTTTTTGGTTTTTCTTTCAAGAAAAAAAAAACGAAAAACCCAAAAACTAAACTTTTCTGCCGAGAACTAAATACTCTTCATGTATCCAAGATATGAAAATAAATTAATTAACTACTGATAATCCCTAAGGATCTCTGGCACCTGAATAATGAGATGCAAAGCATGCTTTGAGCGCTCTACTTACTTTGATAGTGCCCCAAATAATTTTGTTCTTTATACTAATACACTTAGCATGCTTATGGTTGAAGAATGATGTAGTAATATTGATGAAAGTATAACTCACGGGTAAGTACAACTGTATGTAATTTGATTAATCTTAATTTTAGTTTCAGAGCTTTGTTTTCCGTTGGTCATAATATATTTGGAACCTTGCACCGTATTTTAGGGGATTTTTAAATTAATATTCATGTAGTGATATCCCAGAAATACGATTTGTCTTCAAATCTGTTAGTATCTTTTTATAGCAGAATTTGTGAAGAATCTTTTCATTCAGTAGATATAAACTGTCTCTGCTCTTTGAGATCCAGAGGACTAGTCTGTTGCTGCAAAATAGTAAAAAGCTCAGTAGCATCTTTAAGACTAATACACTTTATTGTCACGTAAGCTTTCGAGAAACACAGCTCTCTTCATCAGATGCATCTGATGAAGAGAGCTGTGTTTCTCAAAAGTGTATGCTACAATAAAGTTTGTTAGTTTTAAGGGTGCTACTGGACTTTTTACTATTTTGCTTTTTGAGAGTGGTGCAGATATTATTACCTGACAGCTATAGGATAGAGAGACCTCCGCTACTTGATAGATCTAAAATCAGTAGAAGCAGTTAGTTATTTGGTCTCTTTGAAAACGACCTGCTGAAACTCGAGGTCAGTCACGTGTTCAAACGGTTCAATCTCTCTTGAAGTGCAAGAAATTAGAAGATCGTGAGTCGTCCAGAATGGACGGCATTGCACACCTAGCGTAGCGCATGGCTTTTGGTGTGTAAATTCGTAGCTTCTTGCATTACAGGAAAGACTAGTTCCCCCTCTCCACCCAACTTTTATGTATTTTGTGGTTTCTAAAAGATTTGATGCATGCTGCTTTATGCATAAGCAATGCTGGGCAATTGACAATTTCTTCACAGCGGTTTTACAGAATGGGACTGAGGTGGGATACGTCTTTGCTTGGTCCCAAAATAGTCTAACTTGGAGCTAGTGCAAAATACCTGCTTACGCTAGAGTTCTCACACAAGCAGATAGCATGGACAAGACCACAGTAGCCACTGGAGCTAAGTCAGACTTCCTATATCCCCAGTTGTGTTTCTGCATGCATGTGATACAGCACGACCCATCGGGAAGTGAAGCTAGCAGTTTCTTCATTCTCAAAATGGCTCCTGGAAGGGCATTGTAGGTCAGTGTGTGTGTGTGTGTGTGTGTGTGTGTGTGTGTGTGTGTGATGCCAGAGAACTTGCACAAGATTGTGCACAATCCCTTCTGCAAGCAGAACTATGCTAAATATATTCTCCCCCCTCCCCCATTTGCACATTGCTGGGTCCAACTAGTGAATTCGCTTCCTCCATTCCAGTAACTCCCAATGCCCTGCCTCCCCCCCCCCCCCACACTCACTCTCGGATGGTTTTTGTTCTTAGACAGGAATTAGATCACTTTTCCTTCTGTTTAAATGCTGTAAAAAAATATTCTAGTGTATTTTATAATGCTTGTGGGAATTATCCAAAGGGAGTTTGGTTTAACAAACCAGCCTAAGTGCTATATAAGAATAGTGAAAGCTTGTATTCCCATGCATGCTTATGAATGGAGGTATTGACTTTTAAATGAATTGGGGAATAGTAGGTTATAAAAGAGTATGATCTTTGGTATGTGTCATCCCTTAGAATTGGTGCAGATTGAAATGATTACATCTTGCAGTGTGGTTACAGTAGGAAGCCAGAGAAAATTCCATATTTGGGAATGGAGAACCCTGGTTGTGGTGTCTTGTAGAACTGTTAATCTGTTGATTGACTGTGTTTTGGATTTAGCAGTCGGCCTTGTTCAATTACTGGCCTGCTTCTCCAGTTTACAGACAGCAACAGTCTAGTAAGATGTGTGATTACCACTCAGACAGATTCAGGTGGGCAGCAATGCTCCCTCTAAGCTGTGGAGTCTTGTGAGCAAAAATCCTAGTTTGTGAGCTACTGGCATTAAAGTTGTGAGTGAGCAACTTGGCTACTGCATAAATTAGTTTGCTCCGGAGCCCTCCTTCCTGAGCTAAGAAAAAATTTGTGAGCTGGAGGCTAAAAAACTGTGAGCCAGCTCACACTAACTCAGCTTAAAGGGAACACTGGTGGGCAGCTGTATTGGTCTGAAGCAGCAGAGCAAAGTTTGGCACCTTTTAGACCAACAAAGCTTTATTCTGGGTACAAGCTTTCGTGCGCATGCACGCTTCCTCAGATATACGAAGAAATACAGAAATATGTAGTGGGTTCTAACACGTAAAGTCCTGTTTTATCCTGAGTCCCCAGATAAAATACCTCTAAAATATCAGTCCTTGATGACTGGATCTCTTATGTGTTAAGCTGACACATCTCATCCATAGTGACCTGCTTGGATTTTCTGCTCCACGTGCTATTTGGTGTCTTGTGATGGATACTCAGAATCTACCGGAATATTAAATATGATATTTAGTCCCAGCACTTCTTTGGTCAGCTGTGTACATTTAACTTCATATTGGTCAATTATTCAAATCACCTGGCCTGCTAATACTTTTCATACTATTTTAGAACTCTTGTACCTTGAAGGACTGTTGGTCTGAGCTAAAATGCTCTCAAGCTAACCAGTGGTTGGTTTCAATATTTCTAAGTCACTATCCTGCAATAATGTAAAATGCTTTATACCAGATCATCTCCTCAGAGCTTTGAGATTTGCTAATATATTTCTGAAATGTCATAAGAACATAAGAGAAGCCAATGTAGGATCAGGTCAATGACCCATCTAGTCAAACACTCTGTCACACAGTGGCCAAAAATACCAGGTGCCATCAGGAGGTCCAGCAGTGGGGCCAGGACAATAGAAGCCCTCCCACTGTTGCCCCCCCAAGCACCAAGAATACAGAGCATCACTTTCCCCAGCCTGAGAGTTCCTATCTATACCTCATGGCTAATAGCCACTGATGGACCTCTGCTCCATATGTTTATTTAATCCCCTCTTGAAGCCGTCCATGCTTGTAGCTGCCACCACCTCCTGTGTGTTAATCACATTCCATGTGTTAATCAGTCTGTGTCCTTCAGGGACCTCTCTGTAAATATGTATATGCCATCAGCTTTGCAATTTTAAGATGAGACTTTTATTTAGTGAAATCGATCAATTCCTGTCTCATCACCTTTGCTGTTAAGAGGTTTTAAAACCTCCAGCAGACTTGGGGTAAGGCTACATCTAGTCTCAACCATTTTCCAACCATGTTAGCTTGATAGCATGTGAGCTCAGACCAACAGTGCTTCGAGGTATCAGAGTTGCTCTCTAAATGAGTTTCTAAGATTGTATGAAAAGTACTATATGAAAGATAACACAAAATGCTCGCGCTCTCTGTCAACATGCAGGGAGGAAGAAGGAGGGGGGCTGTGATGCAGCAGTAGAGTAACTGCTTTGCATGCGGAAGGTCCCATGTTCGGTTCTTGGTATGTCCAGTTGGAAAAGAATCTGGAAATAGGCGAAGTGGCAAACGTGCATCTCAGACCATGAAGAGCCACTGCCGGTCAGAGTAGACCACACTGACCTTGATAGACTAATAGCTGCCTGACTCTGTATAAAGTAGCTTCGTGGGTGTTCAGTTTATGCTGTTATACTCAGTTGAGCAATTGTGTATAGAGGGCTGCTGTTTCAGTGTTGAAAGCTGGTGAGATCACCCTGCGGAGTGGCAGTGTCAGATTCTCTTGCTCCACAGCACTCAGGTTTATGTTCATTGACGATTATAGCCAAAGGCTGGAAAAGGAGGAAACTCGCCCCCCCCCTTCTCTGCTGAATAGATGGGAAGCACATAGACAGAGAAGTGGTATATATAAGGCTGTGGAAGAACTAAACCAGTGGGTTGTTAACCTTTAATCCACCATCACCCAACAAGCACACGGTATTCTCACTTTAATACTCCCCTGCCGCAAGTTGAAAAGTAGGACATACAAACAGCCCATCGGATAAGATCGCTTGATTGGTATTGGCATGTTTATGGAGTATGCATGCCGTACACTCCAGGCTTACATTCAGTGAGGTCCTTGTTCACGATGGCCATCACTCAACTCCTTAATATAAGGTGGGATTCCTGTTTGCTGTGTGCTGGTGAGGTGGTGGTGGGGGGGTCTGGGCTTAGTGTGTGGTGTAAAATAACTCCCTTGCATTGCTGTCTGAAGTCATTGCAAGTGGGGAGAAGGGGGCTGCCTGAAACCTCAGAGGACTCCCATTTCTCTAGATCTCCCCCCATTAAGAATCACTAAACCAGACCATTGCAAGTGCACTGCCATTTGTTTGTTTTGTAGACGCTTTGCGTGTGTGTACCTGTGCAGAAAATTGTGTGTTAATATCAACTCTGCATTGTGAGCTCAGACAAAATTCTGCGTCAGTACAAGTTATCCAGAAGCACATTGAAATGGAGTGTTAGGATTAAAACTGGAGACACCTTTTCTCTCCTGAAGTGTGTTCAGTTTTGCGAGATTGTGCTGAATTGGCAGCTCGGGAGAAGGGTGTGTATTCGCTGCTAATTTATCTTCAGGAGGAAAGTAATTTCAAGCAGGCACTCGTGAAGAAGGGGGAAGGGTACCTTGATAATCACTGAGGTGCGCTTCCATTGTTCACTGCACGAGCAAGTGAAGAGAGGGGCGTTCTCAGTTTGTCCTCAAGTTTTTGAATGCCATTTCTCCCTCAGTGGTTTAAAAATGGCCCTCTCTGCACCCTTAGTTTCTTCCAAAAAACGTATATATGAAGGGAGGGTGCCGAGTGGATGGAGGTGTACCATGATAACCAGAATATAAGTGGTTAGCAATTATCAACTGATCGTGGAGTTAGTCCATTTATATATCGAAGGAAAAACAAAAGACTGGGAAAAGCTGAAAATAACTGTGGGATAATGGAACTTTTAACATTGCGTGTCATAAGCTGAACTGAATTTCTAGCACCTATATTCTCTTTTTCCACCCGCCTAACAGCCCTGGTCTTTCTGGTGAATGGGGATTGTTGCTAGCATCCTCACACCAACTACTGTCGTGTGTATAAGAACCAGGTCGCCTGAAGGCCTAGCATTTGTGGCTTCCAAATATATTTCATTTGGGCAAAGGCATGTTTTGGTGTTCGAAGCTGACCGATCGATTTGTATGCTTAAACCCAGGGCTCTTATTACAATTGCGAGATGTCGTTTGCAAGTGTTCTGCCGCTTTTATTCCTGCTAGTGTAAGATTTGTCTTCTTTTTCCTGCTTCCTTTGTGCTTCGGCATTCTTTTCGTTGAGGCTCCCGACTGAATATGAGAGGAACGGGAGATATGAGGGCTCAAGGTGAGGGCAACTGTTGTTGTTGTTGTTTTAAAAATGTTCCCTTAGGTGAGTTTCGACTCTCTTCTCCAATCCTTTCGATGTGGCTTAGGTAGTGGAACACTGGTGGTGGTAACCTCTGAGTTTTAACAAACGCGCAAAAAACCCAAGAAGGCCTTCTACCTGCAGAGCTGTGATTAAATCACTTACAGCGCATAAGATTTCTCACATACACAGGTTTCCCTGGGGAGAGTCTTATAACTCGTAGTGCTGCAATGGCTATTAAACTGTGGCGGAGAAAGCCAAAAGGTTGGCAGAGCAGTAGGTTTCCTCATCTGAGCCAGAGCCTTGTTGCTGAAAAGAACTTACCAAAAGAGATCTCGATGTACACAGTTGGATTCTCCCCAGTTAGGATTCTAGGGAGAAAACGTTTGTGTGCAATTGGCTGCCGGTGTTGTAGGAACGGAACCCAGTTTCGTGCAGCTGTAAGTTAATCACAGAAATGTCTGTCAGACGGCCTTGGTTTAAAATGGGGAGCTCTTCTTTTTACAGAAGTTCTAGGATTTCATCGATGCATTTCCTTAAACCCTGATGAGTTAAGCTGAATTAAGTGCCACTCCTCTTCTCTTACACAATAATTGTCTCTAAGGTGGCTTTAAATTGTGCGGTGGCCAGTTTAATGTGCAAAGTTCAGCTCCCAGGTATCTGTTGTCCTAAAGAACACTTACACAGAGAAGAAGCCTGTCACGAAGGCCACGATTTCACAGGAAGACCAGTATGAAATTCTAGATGTTTCTGTACTCCCCCCCCTCCCATTTTCTCTCTGCTGTTCCCAAAGGGGTGGGGACATAGTGGGAAGGCGGCAATATGGGAATCTCTGTTTCTCATATCTGAACCCCAGCCAGTTTGGTATGGTGGTTAGGAGCACGGACTCTAGTCTGGAAGAACTGGGTTTGATTCCCCACTCCTCCACATGCAGCTGCTGGTGTGACCTTGGGTCAGTCACAAGTTCTCTCAGAACTGTTCTCTCAAGAGCCGTTCTCAAAAGAGCTCTCTCAGCCCCACCTACCTAACAGGGTGTCTGTTGTGGGGAAGGAAAGGGAAAGGAGATTGTAAGCCGCTCTGAGACTCCTTTGGGTAGTGAAGGGCAGGGTATAAATCCAGTCTTCATCTTCTGCTCCATATGAGTACATTTTGATTAGAGAGACTGCAGTCCAGAGAATTGGAAGCTGCACACAGCTATGGAAATGGCTGCATGCGCCTCATTCTCTGGACTGCAGCTGTTGTGTTTGTATGCTTTAGCTCTTAACAACTGTAGTGAAAAAGTTGGGGGGTTTTGATCACTAATCCCTTCCAATTTCAATCTAAACTTTGATAAATCATGTCTAAACCAACGGTCTTAACTCTCACGTCCCCTTTGGAGCTAAACTTTACACAGCAACTATTCTACAGAGCATATTAGTGCCTGATAGAAAAAGTCTTTTTTTAAAAACTGCTTTCAATTTGTGGGGAATTAGGAAGGTGTGTCCAAATCATAGGCTTTCTCCTTGTGGTTTCGGAGTATTAAAGAAAGATGTCCAAAGGGGCCTTTATGCTAGGACGTCCCAGGGTGTGGTTAGATCAGGGGCACCTGGCATAGTGCCAGTGAGCTCCATGGTGCCCGCTGACCCCTTTTCTGGTGCTCACCAATTTTTTTAGAAGGTGTGTGTGGCTTTTCCCCAGCAAGGCTTCTGATTGGCCATTGAAGATTTGATTGGCTGTGCAGATGCTTAAAAAAAACTTTCTTTGGCATCAGCTGCCACCACAGCAAAAGGATCTTCTCTGTGTGATGGAAGGTAAGCTGTGATGGCCATTTTGTCACTGTCTGTGGCTCCTTCAGCAGTCCTTTTGTGGCTGCGCCCACCACTCTTCTTGTGTCAGAATTCCACAGGTGCCCAGAGGCTCAAAAGGGTTTGGGACCAGTGTTCCCTCTAAGCTGAGTTGGTGTGAGCTAGCTCACAGTTTTTTAGCCCCCCGCTCATACCTTTTTGTCTTAGCTCAGGAAGGATGGCTCCAGATCAAACTAATTTGTGCAGCAGTCACTCGCTCACAACTTTAATGCCAGTAGCTCACAAAGTAGAATTTTGGCTCACAAGACCCCACAGCTTGCAGGGAGCATTGTTTGGGACTCTCCCCCCCTCCTCGGTTAGATTACACAATATAGCAGCCTTGCTGAAGAAGACTGCCTGTATATCTGGTCAGCACTTGACTGGGAGACCTCTCAGGATTCCTACAAAAGCCCCCTTGAGCTCCCTGTTTGAAGGAAGGCAGGGTATCTGTGCAGTAAATACATACAGAACACAGAAGAACAGCAAAACCTTGTTCATAGATATAGTAGGACCTGTGATATTCTGCACTAAAAATTCTCAGCCACTGCAGTGGGTTTCTGCATTTGGCGGATAAGGCAGGGTGCCCAAAGGGACCTTTCTCTTAGCACAAGCCCCAGGATGTGGTTAGAATGTACCTGATAAGGCAGCCTTGCTGAAGACAGGCAGCCCAGGGTCCGCTTAGAACACACCCGCAAAAATTTAGGAGTCTTTGCAAGGGCAAACATAGACCTGTGGTCCCCTGTGTATGAAGTGGAAGGTGGAGAAGCACCTTGGAAGGATAGTTGTGAGCAGAGAAAGTGGTAGGTGGGGGGGATTTGTGGTCTTCCCTCCCCCAGTGTTGCTGTTTCTCCCCCCTCCCCCCCCCCCCCCCCCCCCGGGCTTCTTTCCATGGGCCATCAGACTGTTTGGGTCAGTTATATGTATTTGCATGCAACTTCTGTTCAGCATTTGCTTTTCCCCAGTAATGCCTAGCAAAAACAGCTCTTGACTCATCCTGGGGTTCGGTAGCAGTCACTTAAGATAACATGCTTCGTAATAATGCATGCTGCAAAGGAGTGGGGCGGCTTTGACTAACATTAACAACCGCTGAGGAAGTCAGAGTCGCCCGGCGAATACTAAACCCCAAACGGTTTCCTTTTTCCAGTCGCAACGTGGCTGGCGACCAGAAGGACGACAACAAGGAGGCGAAGCCTCGCTCCCTGCGCTTCACCTGGAGTATGAAAACCACCAGCTCCATGGACCCCAACGACATGATGAGAGAAATCCGCAAAGTCCTGGACGCCAATAACTGTGACTATGAACAGAGGGAGCGCTTCTTGCTCTTCTGCGTCCACGGAGACGGCCACGCAGAGAACCTCGTGCAGTGGGAGATGGAGGTGTGTAAGCTGCCAAGACTGTCCCTGAACGGAGTTCGATTTAAACGGATATCGGGAACATCCATAGCTTTTAAAAACATTGCTTCCAAAATTGCCAATGAGTTAAAGCTGTAATGAGAGAAGAGCAAAATCAAAGTTTGTAAATTTCGAAAGAAAGGGGAAAAAAAGTAGCAATTTCAAGTGGTTTTTTTTTTTTTTTTTTTTTTGAGAACACCAATGGAAATGTATAGAATAATACTTAGGGCAATAACTTCTGCATCTTCTGAATCGTGATATTAAAAACAAACAAGCAAGCTGCTGAGCTGGGAGGGGAGAGATGGACTTTTTTTATATATATATAAGCGCACTACAGCATTAAAGTTGCCTCCTATGTAAAATGTTACTCCCTTTCTGCTTTATTTTCCATTGCTCTTGAGTTCTTTGGTAAAAACATTCTGAAAACACCACAATATATACGTTTGAATATGCCTCCCGTTTGTGTGGGTGTGTGAATGTACAGTATGTGTGTATTATTATGATATCAAAGTATTATATGTTAAAACGGTTCTTTGGGGGGGAAAAAACATCGAAGATGTACCAGTACCTCTTTTTTGGGGGGGGAGGGTGTGTGTCTGATTTTGGTGCTAAAATTGAAACCGCCAAGGTGGAAACACTTTAAAATAACTGACTTAGTTAACCAGAAAATGCAGGTTTTATAATTTACTGCTGTATTAAGATTAGTATGAAGGGTTTGGGTTAACGGTTGTGAACAATTAATTCCTATGGGTTTGTTTTTTGTTTTTTTAAAAAAATTTGCTCTCATGAGGTAATTTAAAACCCATGGTTGTTGGGATTTTCTCCCCAAAGTCTTGCATTATTTCTCCCTCCTATTTATTATTATTTAAGTCTGAATCCGATTAAAACTACACGTTTGTGATAATTAAAATTGTGGGGAAATGCTTCCAAGGTTTTCTTTTTTTTTTTCTTCCCCCCCTCCCCTTTTTCCCTTTCTCACTAAGTAGAAGTTAAGCCTTGCCTTTTCCACTTTGAGGTTTTTTCCCTGCTAGAAATCACAGGTTTTGTTAGGGGTTATTTTAGACAGCTGTGTTCTTGCTCATTCTCTGTACAGCGAGGCTTGTGTGGGGCAGTCTCTTGAGGGACCACTGCCCTTTTTCAGTAACCTACAGAGTTTGCACCGATGTTATCTTTTAATTTGTTGTTCAGTCGCACAGTCGAGTCCGACTCTTCGCAACCCCATGGACCAGCTCCCGCCAGGCCCTCCTGTCTTCCGCCGTCCTCTGAAGTTGACTCAATTTCATGTTTGTGGCATCGATGACACTGTCTAACCATCTCATCTTTTAATACCTGGTGCTGAAGAGGTGGTGGAAAGTGTCATCAACTCACAGCTGACTTCTGGGAACCCTGTAGGGTTTTCAAGACAAGAGAGAAGTTCAGAGGTGGGTAGCCATTGCCTGCCTCTCCGTTGTGACCCCGGACTTCCTTGGTGGCCTCCCATCCAATTCTAACCAGGGCCAACCCTGCTTAGCTTCCAAGATCTGCCAAGATCAGAACACGCTGAAGTAGGGATATGCAGGGGTCATTTCCTGCAGGAGCGCACAGGAGCGGAGCTCCGGCAGTAAGGAGCTCACGGGGTGGGCACATGCAACAAGCCCCGCCCCCTGCTCCCAGCAGCCCTCAGTTGGGCCATGAGGAACAAGAAGCAGCCAGGTAAGTTGCCCCCCCCCCACCTTCAGGTACAAGCTTTCCCTCCTCTGTGAGGGCGAATCTCCATGTCCCCCCCCCAATAGCTAGCAATCCAAAACAGCCCAGTGGAGCCTGAGCGGTGGGTGTTGCCTTCAGACACACTTCCGGTGATGTCAGGGGGTGTGGCACACGCAAATAAGTTATGCTAATGAGTTATGCTAATGAGCTCCTGCACCTCTTTTTCTACGAAATGACCCCTGGGGATATGTATTTAAATTCCAACATGCTGGCCCTTGCCTTCGTTACTGACATTTTCAGTGGCAACAGAAGCTCCTGCAGTACAATAGGCGGGTGAGATTAACCAGGAAAAGGGAAGAAGAGTGTGCAAACTTCGACGAATGGTAAGAAGCATCCTGTGACTGACCCAGATGTCGGCTGTATTTACGTATCTATCGCGCATATTGAAAAAGAAGAAATTCTAGCGATCATTTTCAGGTGGGTAGCCGCATCAGTCTGTTGCAGCAAAAAGAAACAGGATTTTAAGGGCACCTTACAAATTTTATTCCATCTTGAGCTTCTGTGGACTAGACCAGCTCTACCTTGCTGAGCAGTTTGTGGAAATGAATGTACAGAGAACCACCACCTCTCCAGATCAGTGTTTATGTTCTCTAGACCATACCTTACAGGGGCCTGAGATAGTCGAGCAGTAGTCAGTACCTAAACTTTCTATATTGTTTCCATCTTTTATCATCATTTGCTCCTGCTGTGTCCTGTGTAATAATTCTGCACCTCAGTTATGGAAAGAGGTCTCGATCTTCTTGCCTGTGAGCAAAGAGGTAATTGGGATGTTCTTGGTTTTGTGGATATCTGTCTATCTATTTAGGAGCTGCGGTGGCTCAAGTGGTTAAGACACTGAACTACAGGCTGGAAGGTTGGTAGTTCAGCAGTTCAAGACCCAAGTGCCGCATGTCGGAGTGAGCTCCCGCCTCTGGTTCCAGCTCCTGCCAGCCCAGCAGTTCGAAAGCAAGAAATTGCAAGCTGGTAAATAGGTACCGCTTCGGTGGGAAGGTAACAGCGTTTCGTGCGCCTTGGCGTTTAGTCATGCCGGCCACATGACCACGGAAATGTCTTTGGACAGCGCTGGCTCTTCGGCTTGGAAACGGAGATGAGCACTGCAACCCTAGAGTCGGATTCGACTGGCTTTCAAGCAAGGGAAACCTTTACCTATCTATTTATTTGTTATTTTAATTTCTAACCTGCCCTTTCCGTGAGCGGGCTCAGGGCAGGTTACAACATTAGTATAAAACAATAAAATCAAGTTTAAAACTATAAACTTAACCTTTTAAATGATGGTGATCAAACCACATCATAACTGTTACAGTGGTGCCCTAGTGTTAGACAATGAAAGGCAGAAAGGGCTAGATCCCATAAGGGATTCCAGATTATAAATACCCTACCGTAGGTAAACCAAGGCAGTTGTCATTCTGTGCCCTCGGAAACTGAAGACCATGGTACAGATGGTAACAGAGAGGTAACAGGAGGGGCCAGATGATATTTGATGTCCACTGCCTCACCCCAAAGTCTGGCGGAAGAGCTCCGTTTTACAGGCCCTCTGGAACTGTAAAAGGTTCCGCAGGGCCCTGATCTCTAGCGCGAGCTCATTCCACCAGGTTGGGAATAATGCTAAAATAAGGATTCACACAGAAATCCCGTATTCTCTCTGCAGAAAACCCAGAGGTTGCCATTGGAATGAATTGTGCAAGCCTGTGTAGATTTATATGGGGTTTTAGCAGAATTTTGGGGGGTTGCATAAGTCCGAGAGTGGGAGGCGGAACAGTAGACACATTGGAACAGGGACTGTTAAAACCTTTTAGCAATAGTAGTCATGTTTGGTGCACAAGTCCAGTCCTTGAGCTATTGGAAGCTGTATCCAGATCTCTGGCTTCTGAGCATTTTGTAGTATTTTACCAAAGGTTTTTCAATAGTGAAAATAGTGATGGGTAAAGGTAAAGGTTTCCCTTGCTCGAAAGCTAGTCGAGTCCGACTCTAGGGTTGCGGTGCTCATCTCCGTTTCGAAGCCGAAGAGCCAGCACTGTCCGAAGACGTTTCCGTGGTCATGTGGCCAGCATGACTAAACACCGAGGCGCACGGAACGCTGTTACCTTCCCACAGAAGTGGTACCTATTTGTCTACTTGCAATTTCTTGCTTTCGAACTGCTAGATTGGCAGGAGCTGGAACTAGAGACGGGAGCTCACTCCATCATGCGGCACCCGGGTCTTGAACTACTGACCTTCCACAGCCTGCAGTTCAGCGTCTTAACCACTTGAGCCACCGATGGGTACAATTTTATAAACTGCTGGAATTAACAAGATCTTGCATTGCAACGGTGCATTCTGTAATTTGCCATGTGTCTGCAAAATATAGATTCTATATATACACAGCTCTCTTAAGAACCGACCAGTGGTCCATCTGGTCCTCCATCCTTTCTCATGCAGTAGCCAATGAGTTCCTCTGGAGGGCAATAACAGGGCATAGAGACCAAGGCCTTCCCCTCATGTTGCCTCTTGGCATTGGGATTCAGAGGTTTAGTGGCTCTGAACGTGGCTAGTAGTCACTGATAGGACTAGCCCCTCTAGTCATCATGGCTAGTAGGCACTGATAGGACACATCCTCCCTGAATCTTTCTAATCCCCTTTTAAAACCATCTATGCCTTTGGCCATCAGTACATAAGGGTTTTGAGGTGACCAGTTTCTTTTTCTACAAGCCCCTAGACAGCTCTGACTGGAGAGTCAGTGTGGGTCCCCCCTGGTTCCTGGGACACAACGTCCTTGAATCAAGCCCCAAAAGTACAAAATCACTTTAATTCCGATCCACTGTATACATGCCTTCTGTGAATTAGATTTGATATTCCGTTACGAGCTTAAATTCCTTGAAATGTTTCCTGTGTAAACCCTTTTTGATTTTGTTCTTCTGGCCACAGGGTAATGAAGCTGCAGGATTAAGGGGTTTTGTTTTTTAAAGGAAGAGCCATTCTTACATAGGCTTGCAGTGAGTTTCCATCACAGTTCAGTCTCTATTGTGATGCACCATTTGATTCACCCAGGAGCCAGTTTGGTGTAGTGGTTAAGTGCACGGACTCTAATCTGGGAGAACCAGGTTTGATTCCCCACTCCTCCACTTGCACCTGGCTGGATGACCTTGGACAAGCTATAGATCTTCGACGTGGTCTCTGTGCTTCACACCCATGGGATTCAGTGCGCACGCGCTGGATCGTTCGGTGCTGTAGCAAGCTCTTTTAACGGATTTTTGCACCCAGTCCCTCGGGCATGCGCAGGAACCCCACCGCGCATGCCCAGAGGGGTGGGTGCGGACATCCCACCAGTTATTTTCTTACCGCCGCGTTGAGTAGACCTCTTTTTCGTTGGTCAGATCGGTTCGATTGTGGCTTTTCTCCTCAGCTCTTCGGAATTATTTCCTTACTCTATTTTTCTTTTTCAGTTGTTCTTCAAAAAAGCTTTA